AGTGGTTCAATCACTTTTGTAGCCGAATTTAAGAATAAAAAGATTTTTGCGAAAAAAACAAAAATAAACAAATAATGGCGATGTGCCAAAACAAAAACTATAGTAGTAATAAACATCCGGTTTTCGCCATTATTTAGTGCTCAATTAGTAAATTTGAATTCCATAATTAATTTGGTTAACCGTCTTTATAAAAAATTGTAATACGTTAAAGAAATGTTTAGGAGGTCAAAATTTGGCCAGAAAATTATCAAAGCGCTAACAATAAAATTTATATAATTCTTTAGAGCTACCTTAGTAGAGGTTAGTGCTTAAATCAGTTTAATAGCCTAATTTAAAAAAAGTTATTAACAAAATAAACAAAAAATCTATCAGCGACAAACATTTTATTTTCACCATTATTTAGTACTTATTTTGTAAAATTTAAACCCTAATTAGTTTGATTAAAAACCCCAAGTAATTAAAAAATGCATATTGTCTTTTTGCACTTAACCTATCAATTGTTTCCGTAGATCATCTGCCATATTTGAGTAATATAATGTTTCAGAAGCTTATATATTAAGGTTCCCAAAATACATGAATAGCTATATAACCAAGTCACAAAATATTATTTCTAAATGGGTCCATTGAACCCCATTCTTGTGTAATAATTATATAATTTTTATTATTTTATTGTAACAACTACATTTTTTCTCCAGCATCTATTATTCTGAGGTGTCATTGAATGATATGGTTAAAAACATTCTCAGAAATTTTTTATTCATAATTCAAATTGTTCTTTTTACATAGTTTTATTTTATTCGAAAAAATTACGCATATATTTATTCCTATCATAAATTTTAGTTATATTAATATCACAATATTATGAAGTACCCGTCGAACCGTACTCTGACCTAATTTTTTTTTAAATAAATCTGGTTCGGGCCTAATATTTTTAAAAAAAGGGCCGGGTAGGGTTGGGCCTAGAAATTTTTTTTAAATACATCTAAATTTATCAATTATATATTAAATTTTTTATGTAAAATAAAAATATTTGATTTTATTTATAGAAACTAGACAACATATAACATATGTCTTTTATTTTGAGTAATTTTAAAAATTATTTTCTATATTTAAATAAATTCGGGCAAGACCGCTGGTCGTAAATTTTTTTAAAAAAATTCTAGTTCGGGCGGGCCGGCAAAACTTTTTTAAAAAAATTTCTGACCGTCCGGGCTTGAAAAATTAGGCCCGATGCAAATCACTAATACTTATGCAGGAATTCTGAGAGTTCCTGATTCGATAAATTACTGCCATATTAATCTTTCAAATTTTCTGATACCTTTCTCGACGCCTAAGAAAATTTTAGACCAAAACATTAAAAAATTATATTCGACTTATAAATTTGACGTTCGTATTTATTAAAAAAATTTTTAAAAAAATTATATCAAAATGTTTTTTACAATAATTATGGAAAGTTATTTAACTGTATAAGAATGTTTCACATTATGGAAATGTGTTACATACTATAAAAATTTACAAGTAATCAAAATTTTTTGAGTAATATAAAAAATTAACCACAGAATTTCCCACATGTGATTAATAAATCAACACTCAGCTGTAAACCATATAATAAATAAAAGCCTAACAGCTGCACACATTACAAACAATCTTGAACGATCAAATTTATCTCAAGTAGATGGTTTAAGACCTGATGGTATGACAACCATACCTTGGGCCCTCAGCAAATCACTCATTGGGGCTACACGTGTGTCTCATCATTCCCTTCAAACATAAATTTCAATTTAATAACACAGGCAGAAATTAAAAAGACAAACAAATACAAAAATTTTAAAAACTTCATATTCACTCCAATATTGACTTCTACTAACGGTTTCGCCTTCAACATTTATATTTTTAAAAAATCTGCGTAATAAAATACGACTTTTCACAAATGAACCCAGAGAATTTTATTTTATTCGACAAAAAATTCAAATAGAAATTTATAGACACAATTATGGTTCATGGGGACTTAATTATAGAATTTTATTTTTAATTATATAATTATAAATTTATAAATTATAATTTTTTAATTAGGTTTTATTACATATTTTATAATTTTATATATTTTCATAATCCTTAGTGTATTACAATTTTTTATAAAGACGGTTAACCAAATTAATTACGGAATTCAAATTTACTAATTGAGCAATAAATAATGGCGAAAACCGGATGTTTGGTATTACTATAGTATTTGTTTTGGCACGTAGCCGTTATTTGTTTATTTTTGTTTTTATCGCAAATAACTTTTTATTCTTAAATTCGGCTACAAAGGTGATTAAAGAATTAATCTCTACTAAGGAAGCCCTAAAGAAGGATACAAATTTCATCGTTATTGCTTTAATAATTTTCTGGCATAATTTGACCTATAAACATTTCTTTAGCGTATTACTATTTTTATAAAGACGGTTAACCAAATTAATTATGGAATTCATATTTACTAATTGAGCACTAAATAATGGCGAAAACCGGATGTTTAATACTACTATAGTTTTTGTTTTGGCACGTCGCCATTATTTGTTTTTTTCGCAAATAACTTTTTATTCTTAAATTCGGCAACAAAAGTGATTGAAGCACTATTCTCTACTAACGAAGCACTAAAGAATGATATAAGTTTCATCGTTAGTGCTTCCAAATGTTCGCCCAACTTCATGCTTAAATCGTGACGTCATAATTTTTATTTAGCTAATAACTTTTTTTCCATATGGTGGTTAATTAAATTAATTACGGAATTTAAATACATTAATTAAGCACTAGATTATGGCGAAAACCGGATGTTTAGTACTACTCTAGTTTTTGTTTTGGCAAGTCGCCAATATTTATTTATTTTTGTTTTTTTTCGCCAAAAAATTTTTATTCTTAAATTCGGCAACAAAAGTGATTGAAGCACTAACCTATACTAACGAAGCACTAAAGAATGATATAAGTTTCATCGTTAGTGCTTTCATCATTTTCTGGCCATAATTTGACCTCTAAACATTTTTTTAGCGTATTACAATTTTTTATAAAGACGGTTAACCAAATTAATTACGGAATTCAAATTTGCTAATTAAGCACATGGCGAAAACCGGATGTTTAGTACTACTATAGTTTTTGTTTTGGCACGTCGCCATTATTTGTTTTTTTCGCAAATAACTTTTTATTCTTAAATTCGGCAACAAAAGTGATTAAAGCACTATTCTCTACTAACGAAGCACTAAAGAATGATATAAGTTTCATCGTTAGTGCTTCCAAAAGTTCGGCTAACTTCACGCTTAAATCGTGACGTCATAATTTTTATTTAGCTAATAACTTTTTTTCCATATGGTGGTTAATTAAATTAATTACGGAATTTAAATACATTAATTAAGCACTAGATTATGGCGAAAACCGGATGTTTAGTACTACTCTAGTTTTTGTTTTGGCACGTCGCCAATATTTGTTTATTTTTGTTTTTTTTGCCAATAACTTTTTATTCTTAATTTCGGCAACAAAACTGATTGAAGCACTAACCTCTACTAACGAAGCACTAACCTCTACTAACGAAGCACTAAAGAATGATATAAGTTTCATCGTTAGTGCTTTCAATCAACTTTTAAGCGTGAAGTTGGCACAAATTTTTATTTTTAGCTATAACATTTTTTCCTTAAATTCGGCTACTATACGGATTGAGCACTAATAAGCACTAACGAAGCACTAAAAAATGACATATGATTCATCGATAGTGCTTCCAAATGTTCGGCCAACTTCACGGAGCTGAAAACATATTTGATTTTATAAATAAAACAAAAAAATATGTTACTTTTTTTTATTATAACTAAATAAAAATATAATAAATTACAAATCTTATTTATTTTAAAAGTACCATGAAAACAAATAATATATTATTAAAAAGAGGGAAAAGGGAGTGTTTCGAAGAAACAAAATTCAAATTATATTAATTATTGAAAAAAATTTTCCAGGCATAAATTTTTATCGTGAGATAAAAAAAGGTCTACATTAAACAAATGTTTGTCTTGACACAGCTCTGGTTATAGATCTGCAAAGTATTCGGGCCGGGCCTAATATTTTTAAAAAAAATTCGGGCAGGGTCAGGTCGGACCTTGGAGTTTTTTTTAAATATATCTAAATTTATCAATTTTATATTAAATTTTTTATATGAAATAAAAATATTTGATTTTATTTATTGAAACTAAACGACATATAACATGTCTTTTATTTTGAGTAATTATAAAAATTAATTTCTATATTTAAATAAATTCGGGCCGGGCCGGCAAAACTTTTTTAAAAAAAATTTCGGGCCGGGCCGGGTTTGAAAAATTAAGCCCGATGCAGATCACTAGCTCTGGTTCGTCTAAAAAAAATCGGCAATATATATCACAGTATGAATAGGATTCAAGCAGTAACACCCCCCCCCCCTTCGCGATTTTTATAATAAACATCTTGTTGGTATAAAGGGCATCGCTATATTATATTGAATTGTTTTAAATCACGATCTTCCCCATTCCCAATAATTTATTCGTTCTCTAGTCGACATAAGTAACTCGTGTTCACGACTCAAGTTGGAAGTCTAAAGTAAAAAATAAAAAAAACAGAACAAATGTTTTATTAATTAATAATAACTAATTTCAAATCTTCGTCCTCTAATCGACGACTCAAGTTCATAGAACTATTCGTCCTCTAGTCGACTAAGTTCATAGAAGTATTTGTCCTCTAGTCGACGATTCAAGTTCATAGAAGTATTCGTCCTCTAGTCGACGACTCAAGTTCATTGAACTATTCGTCCTCTAGTCGACTAAGTTCATAGAACTATTCGTCCTCCCTCTAGTCGACTCAAGTTGATAGACCTGAGTTCACAACTAGAGTCAGTTTTCGGCTAAGTCGACTAGACTTAGTTGATTAACAACACTACTTGGTTCGATAAATCAGAATGATAGATAAAAATTTATGTTTATCTTTATAAAATTTTGTATTTATAAATTTACCAGATTTAAAGAGATTAAATTTATGAGGCCAGAGATGAATCAATTTTTCAATTATTTCAGAGGCAAAGGGTCCATAAACTATTAGTGGTCGCTGATAATAAACTATTTTTTTAAAAAAAGCATTTACAAGTAGTGATTATATAATATAGCTTAATAATTTATCAGTTATAATTTAAAAAATTATAATAATTTCATTATTTATAAACTTTCAATCCTGCGGATTTTCTGGTAAAACAGATGCTTTTTGGAATTTCCAAAATCGTTAGTGTCTTCTTTATCTTCATGATACGAATAGTTTAGGGATAATAATTTCTGAAAATTGCTGGTAAATTTGTTTCTTTTACCTACTGTTTGGCTCTTTATAGGAATAAGTTTGTTATTAAAAGAATTATAATTTATCTGATCCAATAATGTATCCTCTTTTATAGTTATATTGTTATAAAATCTCGTATTTTTATTATAATTAATATTAGAATTAAAGTTATCCAGTAATGTATTGTCGATAGAAAATCTTCTCTTGTAGCTCAAGGTGCTACCATGTTGATTTTCGTTATTTTGAGAAACAACGTTATCCCTTGCCGAAAATAGAGATGTCAGTGATATGATGGGAGAGTTTTTAGGACTTTTCTTTATCATTTTACAAAATGACCTATTGTGAGAACCAACCTTTTGCATGTTTAAATTTCGCTCCAAAATTTCTAATCTATTTTTTTAATTGATATAAAGATAAACTAAATTGGGCAGATTTAATAAATATGGAAATATTAAATATCATAAACGTGCCAAAATAACAAAAAAAAATCATTTTCTCTATATAATTCATATGATGTCAAAACTAGGTCCATAAATTTTATGCAAAATTATTTCACTAGTAAACGACTTAGGGTTATTCCACCATTAAACTCTAAATTCTACCTATGTAAAATGATAAAAAATTATGAGTAAAATAGAAATCTGAATTTATTATTTTTATGACTAAATAAATATATTAAGTAGGGAAAGGAGTCAACGGAGGGATGAGTAGATGCTAAGGAATGGAGCAACAAGTCCCCGAAGGATCCTTTGGCCAGGTAAAACATACCAGTAAGATTTCCTTGGCATTAAGAATTAATTTATTTCTAACATATTAATATATGAAAGCTAAAACCATTCCTCCCCCCCCCTCCCCCTACAATATTATGGAATGAAAAGAAGTGTCAAAAATCGCCAAATACTAGAATCTGAAGAACGTATCTTTACTCCAGTCATTTCCACTAATCAAACGACCTTTGCCATTCTTGCCTAACTTTTTTCAAGAAAAGTCATAAAAGATCCTCGTGAATGATACTACAATCATTCTCAAGATCAATTAAATAAAATAAGTTAAGAATTAACTCTTATATTTTAAATATTGTTAAATTAAATATTTATAAAAACTTGTAATCAGAAGGTATCACCCCGCAAACAATTTTATTGCCTCTTTCATCTAATTTCCATGCTTTCCAACAGCCACAATCTCCATTAAACATAGTGTCATCGACTAATAATATATCATTCCTTTTAAAACTTAAATTTGGTACTTTGTTAAAAAAAAATCCAAAATCTTCCAAATCAAATAATGTCTTTATATATATTGAGTCACCTAAAAATAGAATCAACATGCTAAATTATTTCATTTGTGTATTGAAAGAAATATAATATGACAAATTTAATCTAAAACGAATGACATTAATAAAAATATATAACCAGATTTGTAAAGAGCATCTTGATATTTTATATAATTAGAGCGAGCTGATATAGCAAGAATAGTTGATTTTCCCAATTCATACACAACTTCTTCCATAGTAAGATTTTTTAAAGTCATCCCATTTATCTTATTTTTAAAATAAATAAAACTTCTAATTTCATCAGACATAACATCTGTAATATATTTGATTATTTATTGTTGGATCAATATTATTCATTTCAAATATTTCGACCTTAAATTAAACTTTATGCTAATATTTATAAATGAAATTTATCATATCATTATATTTTAATTATAAGAAAATAACATGAAATAAAAAGGATAAACCTTAAGTAATTGATCACCTTTGATCAGTCGATCTATAATATCCCTGTTAACATTTTTATCGGGAAGGTAAAATTGAGAAGATTGAATGTTAGATTTTTCCCGATTAAAATAATCATTTACTAAACCGTAGGGCAAAATTTCATTGATAAAAATGCCACATTTATTGCCCCCAATCAAGCTTATACCCAAGTTTTTGAAATTTAGGTAATATCGATTGTACACATCGCATATTCGATTCTCGAGTAAAAAACCTTTAAAATCATCCAAATCCTTGTTTTCTGACGATGAATCCACAGAGGTTAACGTGGATTTTGAGTTAGCGCTTATATCGATAAAAATGAATTTAACTTCTCTTTCTTCGTATTTATTTTTAGTTGATTTTAAAAAATCAGAGGCCGAAGCTATAATTGGGTCGCATTGTTTGGAAGATTGTTTTAGATTAAAATTGTTATAATTAGAGTTGGAGAGCGGTTTTTGTTGTTCCGATTGATAAAAGCGATTGGTTAGACTCTTTTTATGTAGGTTATCACAATTATTCATGCCTTCATTTTTAGAGCCAAGACTTAATATAAAGTTATGATAATACAAAAATTAGCTAATATATTTTTTTTAAAAAATTACCTTTCATTTTGAAGCACCTTGGTTAAATTCCTTTGATAGCGTGGTAAAATCCATGGCCGTTTCTTTTTATGATCTGATAATTTAAGTGTTGATGATAATTTGTTAGATAATAACTTTGGCTCTTTACTTAATTTTATTTGTTTATCATTTTCAGCGTAAGAATATCGATTATTTTTTAATAAATCGTCGGTTTGGTTTTGACTTTTCATGTTTTCATTGGGCGAAATTGTGTTCTTTTCAAAATATTCTGTACAATAAAAATGCAAAGAGGCCAGGTTTATTCGTTGTTAATATATTTTTACACATTTATAGTATATAAATATAGCATTTTCAATGAATTATTAAATATTATTTATAACAAAATAAAAACTAACTTTCAGGATTGTATTGTGCCAAAATTGTCATATGTTGTCCACAATTTCTTAGAACATTAGCAGCCAAAGAATATGTAGCATTTCTCAAATTGATGCCACAAATTTCAAGCAACTGATCACCAACTTGTAGCCCGGCCAAATATGCCAAACTGTCGGTCTCTATAAAGGATATATAAATCCCACCTTTGTCTTTATCTAATTCATCCATTTCAATATCACTAATCTATCATATATAAACGGTAAATATTTAATATTATAAAATTAAATAATATACATTATTTTTTTTTAAATTGATAAATAATTATTAAAATTAATCAGGGATGTGAACCCTTCGACAAAAAATGATCGGGTTCAGAGATAAAAAAAATTTTAAAAAAGTTCTCAGGGTTTAAAGAGTATAAAGAAATACTGACTTCCATTAAATAAAACAGCATAAATTTTCATTTATTTATTCTAATCTATAATTACATAATTACATATAAGATGATAAGCAAAGTACTCCTATTATATTATTATTTTTAAATAAAAAAAAATTAAAAAATAGAAGCAAAAAAACTGAAAATTTTGGAAAATGCGATGAAAATTAAAAATGATTCCACGAAAACTCTCAAACATTTTAAAAGTGCACGGGTTCAGCAAAAATATGAGGTTCAAGGTGTTCGGGGGTACATATCCCTGGAATTAATATCATAATATTTTTGACTTTGTTTTGTTGGACGTGACTAGTATAGTTACAAGATTTCAAGCATTCGATCTGTATGCCTAAAGGTTCAGTACTTTTGTCGATTACAATCGTCCTAACCTCCCTTGTAATTGATATTACAGTATTATTCCAATAGTTATCTATTATCAATGGGATGAAATTTAAAAAATGAATCTAATATAAGTGAGGGAGTACAGGACCAGGTAGAGTCGGTCACTTTCTAACTTGTTCTAACATATTATTAAACTATTAATCGTAAATCCCAAATTTAAGACTTCATTATTAATTTATTTCTTATATTAATGTACCTAACCCACTATTCAAAAAGTATTCATTTATTATCTGATTTGAAAAATAAATAAAAATTTAAACGAACTTGCTTGGCTATAAGTTTCAGTTTTGTACTGATTTTGGTCCAAAAAATTATAACGTAGATTGTAATCGATAAAATGAGTGTTATTCGGAGGCAAGGTAAATATCCCCTCTCTATAGCATTTATATGAGTTGGGAGTAGGACTACTCCTCTCTGATTCAGAAATCTGTTGATTCGCCATAAATATAATAATCATATCAAATAGTAGCTTATTAGCCATAGCTTTAAAATTGGAGTGGCTACTTATTTTTTTCACAAATGTAATATTTTTTTTAATAAAACAAAAAAATTTAACGTCTCCTTTGTCTTGCTATTCTAATAGTGAAAACAATGCTTTATCTGTTCTTAAATATATAACATATTCAAGGTAAAATTTAAATAAAGTATTCTTGTTTATATTATAAAATATGTCTTTTTATGATTGAAAAGTTTATCATGATTAAGGAACCCTTCCTAACATGCAAAGATACACCGATATCTTAGATGCCGTATTTTATAATTATTTATGTTATTTAAAAAAGGAAAGGTAAAATTTATCAATATTAACTTTCTTATCGGTTTAAAAATTTGTAGATCATTTTTTCTTTTTAAAATATATGGTTTTGTTGTCATTATATCTATCGGCTATTGGTATCGATCAAAATTAAGAGTATCGGATGTTACCAAAATGACCAATCCGTGATCGGTGCATCTCTATCTAATATGACTGAAACTTATGTTTGAAATACTTTGAATGGTTTAAATTTCTTTTTTTCGGAATGAAATAGGTTTAATATCTCAAGTAGCGCACTCCATTTTAAAACTTATATTTTGTTAAAATATAAAATAAGACCTTATTCCTTTTTAGGGTCAAATCCAATTTAAAAGGCGCGGTTGTTCTAGAAAGTAGATAATCGATATTGATATTATTTTTTATAGTTGGACTACTCGATACTTGTAATATATTTTCAAGACTAATAGGATTTTCATAAACATCAACATTAGTGTTGTTAATTTTGTAACTATTGTATATAGCACCATCATGGCTATTAGTTTGTAAATCTATGATTTCGCTGGCACAATCTAACTGTTTAAAAGTAATAATGTTGTTATTAATATCGGATGAATGATTATTTATCATCATTATTTTGGTTTTATAATTTCCGCTCTCTCCTTCCTCTTCAAATGAAGATGTTAAGATTTCGGATAGAGGTTTAACAATGAAAGGATTTGTTTTTAATTTTGTTTTATAATTTTGATTATATCGAGATCGAACACTATTATTTATTTTTGAACTTGAATCATGGATTATATCCTTATAAATCATTTCACCATTATCATTAGAATTATAATTACTATCAGAATGATGTTTGAGATAGAATTTTTCAATAGTAAAATCAAACTTAGCACCATGGGAAAGGGGGATTTCGTGTATAAAATTATGGGTTGACGAATTTGCTATATTGTATAACTTGTTGGGTGGAACTGATTTAGGTCGTATTCCACTAAAATAGCTGTCATATGATAACTTCTTATGGCGTCTCTTAATAAGTGCTGCCATAGACGGTAATTTACTAATGGATGTATTAAATGATGGCGCTATTTTATAATTTACAAATTCATTATCACAATAGTCATCCTGGCTATTAATTATGGATTTCTGAAAACGTTTATTTGGAAATGTTTGATAAGAATCATATGAGCACAGTTGTTTTTGATTTTCTTTGAATATCGATAACATTTTAGTATCATCATTTTTAAACTTTACTTGGTTCCAATCAGTATAACATTGATGGTTATTATCATTTGAAAATTGTTCTGTTTGAGAAAAAACCTTGTAAATATTGCTTGTATTTTCTTCATTGGTAACCATGGTATGATTGTGACAATAATCAGCCTCCATAGAGCTTAACGATTCCAATTTAATGAAATTTTGTTCATTAACGGTTTTCACGTCAGTTGGAAAATCGTTAAGGTAAAATGCTTTCCTACTTTTAGATAATGGGTTGGAGGTTGACTTAAGACTAGAAGTAAGGAAGGACGAGCGCGATGATATCAATGTAGGGGATAAACAAGTGGGGATAATTTTTGTATCTTTATTATTTCTATTGAGACCTAGTGATGTGATAGGAACGAAATCCCGCTTCAGATCCTGTCCCCAAAAAGAGGAAAAGAGTGAACGCCTTTCTTTTTTACTTTTTTTCCTAGGCCATAAGCTAGCTGATATCTGTTCAATGTTAGATTTTTTGATCGATTCTATATTTGCTGATTGATGCTGTTGCGATAGAAAAGAGTCGCACTGGGATGCCGAGGATGATGGGAACTTAAAGGAACACATGGAATGGTATGATTGTTCGGGACCAGATTTGCATGGCGCATCTCGATGTTCTTGCGTTTTCAACTTGGCGAAAAAGGTGGACAGACGCGCTACACTATTGTTAGTGGTTGTTTTTCGATTTTTAGAAACTTTAGGATATTTTTCCATGAGTTCATTCTGGGTTTGATTAGTTGCACTGGTCGGCCTAAAAATGTTTTTGATATGAGATGTAGGCCAAGTTTGATTCCGCGTATTCGTCTTGTCATAGTTATGTGTTTTAGTGTAAATATCTTTTTTTGAATATTTAGCTTGCCCATATTGACATATGACGTGGTCAAGGGCTGCAAGAGTTTCTTCCTCGTCTCTCGAGAGGAGTGGGCAAATTTCTTTTTGCTTAATCATCTTTTGAGAAGGGTTTTGCTTGGATTCATAATGGGCATGCGTGACTCCTATTCCTTTTTTCATCTTTTCCTGTAGCTTATCGAGATAGGCTTCAAGTTTCGTAGATATTAGTTTGCCTTTCCGCTGAGGCCATTTTAAACTCTTCCTCTCTTTCACCATATTTTGATCGTTTGCTTTCTTGCATGACATGGCTTGTTTGCCGATCGAATCATATTTTTGGTTGTTAAGCAACGAAGGACAAAATAAATTTTCTTGGGATAATGATTTTTTATACATTTGAGAATTAATTAAATAAGCTTTAGGCCAAGGCAATGGTAATTGATTTCTCATTTGAGAATATTTTTCCCTGTTATATGTTTTTAGGTCTGAACCTAACTTTTGCAAATAATGAGCATATAAATATTTACATCTAGGATAAGTTAACAATATGTTTCTATAAGAATGGTTATTAGGAAAGTCTAAAGCATCAAACGTCTCCATGTATCTATCAAGATTGTCAGGTTTTACGGAACAAGCTATGAAATATTAAAATTTAATTAGATAAAATATACTAATTATATTTCATTTAACATTTAAGATAGCGATTATATTTCAAATTATTATCAATTTAATCTACTTAATTTTATATAAAATAAAGATTCAATATTAAGAACAACACTTTTTAAATTGGTAATTCATCATTCATTTAATATAAAAATATAATATATCCAGCATAAAAATAGTAATTTAAATTTTAAAACGCTAGGCATTACATTTGTTTTCTAATAATTTGTCGATTTCTAACGTGTTTTTAACTAAATAGTTATTAAAACTTTCATTTTTCGCCACGGTTATTGAAATCGTTCCCTTATTGTCTAACAAATTTCGGATATCTTCAATCTTGTTTTTAGAATCAATCGCCATGTTGTTTATCTAGATTATGTTTTAATATATTTTTAACCTATAATATTTGAAAGATTAATCAAATTTCAATAATATTTAATAGCTAATAGGAAGATCGCTTGATTTTATTATTGTTAATATATTCCATTTACCTTACTTTACGGACTGTTTATTTACCTTATGGACTTATTTATGATTTCTTATTTTACATTATTTTAACTTAATAGTCTCTTATATTGGTTGATTAACTTATTGTTATTATTATTTTATATTAACCGATTAAATAAATTGTTAAATTGAATTTTATAATATAACATATATATATAGATATGAAATTTGCTAGATAGAGCAGTTAAAATTTTTTAATATTAAATAAAATATTCTTATAACTTTTTTATTTATTGTCTTACTACCTTAGCAATTATAATGATTAGGAATGAATTTATTAAAATATTTTAACAATTACCTTTAATACACGATCCCCAATAGAAAATATATTATCCTTAGAAATCAAGGACTTGGTTTTTATATCATCAATAAAAACACCCATAGATAATACGAGACCCAAATCTACCATATGAAGTTTTTAAAAATAAAAGTTTCAATGCCTAATAAAATAAAGTCTTTTATTTAATTCGAGAAATTGTTTGTTATAATATAGTATAATAACCTTGCCCAAAAGGCCAATCAATTGAACTTGTATACAAAAATTTTGCGAATCTAAATTGAATTTTATTTTCTCTGTTTCGTCTAATAATCAAACGTAAATAATTCAATTGAGCGGTGTCTAAGATTTGTTGAATCAGTGTTTCTGGAGATTCGGTGATATCGATATCATTCACACTTACTATATAATCATTTTGTCTACCATACACAATTTCAAATTAAATTGATAAATACAATTTAATTTATATTATATATAAAAATATTTAAATTGTGCAAATGTTTGTGATACTGATAAGTGAAATTTTTGAGAATATGGAGATATTTTGGCGATTCAAATTATAGAACAAATATAGAAAATCAACGACTACCATAAAGGGTCTAAACATCAAAAAATTTTATTAGATAAAATGTTTGCAAATAATTTTTCACAGTATCATAAAAAGTATCATTTAATAAATTATTAAGTAAAATTGATAACTATCCTCAAAGAGTTATTAAGGAATGGGGATTAGTGGATTTTCATATGGAATTTTGGAAAAGGTTGAGTTTGTTTACAATTAAAATGAGTTGAATTGTATTTTTTTAATATTTTTCTTCCTCAAAAGTGATCATATCTTGATTTTTTAGTATCGAAAACTATATTCAAAGATAAAATGTCACTCCAAACATAAACTATTAAAAAAATCTCGTGATATATACTTCACACATAATTAAAAGGCAAAATTGATCTCAATTATATAAATCGCTATTTTATTTTATACAGCATGTTATTTAAAATTCCTTTTATGATCATTATCAGTATTTTATGAAAAATGGACAAAATAACTTAATAAAATATTAATTACTTTATGTTATTGTAAAATATAGACTTCTTTGAAACATGTACAACACGCACACCCATAGTAAAATGATTTTTGCAAGAGGGTATACGATCAAAATGAATTCCGAATTCTTCGTAATTTAATTTATCGTTCTAATAAAATATAAAATTGGTAAAATTTTTAAAACAAATTTTACGAATTATGGCAGGCCTAGAAAATGACATTTTAAGCACATTCGTGCCAGACCATGTAATAAAACCCGGGACAGGCTTATAGGTCTCTGCTTATTATTCAAAATTATTTTTTATTTAACAAACATAATTTTGACCACCCTTAAAAAACAGTTTTGGATATAAATAAGATAAACTTGTAAAAGAATCGATCAAAAATTATATTTTGGTAACAAGGATTTGTCTTATGTTATTCGTTTTTTTTATTAGTTTTCATGTTTTGCAAAATAATAATTTTTTTTGTATATTTAATGGTCAGGATAATTTTTTATACTAAGAATTTGACTAAATATAATTAACCCCACTCTCTACATTCTCCGCTCATTAGGAGCCCCATGCAAGCCTCAGAGGCGTCTTTGAAAGAAAGAAAGAAAGAAAGAAAGAAAGAAAGAAAGAAAGAAAGAAAGAAAGAAAGAAAGAAAGAAAGAAAGAAAGAAAGAAAGAAAGAAAGAAAGAAAGAAAGAAAGAAAGAAAGAAAGAAAGAAAGAAAGAAAGAAAGAAAGAAAGAAAAAGAGATCTCTTCAACATAGGCTATAATCCTTGGCCATTGAGCCTATTTTCAGGCCTCTGGTGTTTATAATATCTATAGCAGTGGCATAGCTATGAAAGGATAAAAGCGTGGGTGGACCAATTATTTCAAAGAAGCATACAAATTAATTTTTTAAATTGTTTAAACATTTATTAGCGAAATCTTAGGCCGGCGAATAATTTCAAAATAATTTGCTCTCGCAGTTACATTTAATCATAAGTGATCAAAAATAGGGCTATAATCTACTGCAAAGAATAACTATCGAAATATGCGGGTACAACTGTATTTCTTCGCATGGATCATAAATTCTGACGATTTAACTTAAATCGATTTTTTTAACATTATGTTTTATTTATATATATATTTTATAGAGATAGTATATATTAGCTTATTTAATTATTATAAAAAAGCATATATTCAAATTCTAAATATTAAGAATAATATAATAAAAGTTTATAATTTACGTATTATGAAATCTTATTTAATAATAATTTTGTTAAGCTTTAGTATAACAGAAAAGTTACGTTCAATTACAGTTGGTCCAATGAGGGTTATCACCTAAGACCGAGAAATATCCGAAATTTGCTGATTTAAATCTTGTCGACTTAAATTAAAGTTTTTTAAAATTTATTATAATTTTTAAAAAAATTATAAGAATTTAATTATTCATTTAATAAGGATCACATGATAATTTAAAAACTGATAATATATTTTTTTTTAAATTGAGTGCAATATTTGTTAAGATAAAAAATAATCTGTTTACCAATTTGTAATTTATAATTTCGGTTTGCCAATCGAATTCATTTAGTGCGTTAAAATTAATGTGTTTACCCTTGAACCCTTCTAACCGATAACTATAATAAAAATAAAATTAATTTAAAAAAATATATTTTCATTGAATAAATTGTCGCTTGACTATTATATAGGTCAGTTTTGTTAAAAAACAGTTTAGTGCGTTATTTTATAGATCTCCGAATTTTTAAAGGCTCTAAGTTACGAAATCCTGGGAAGCAAAGAGAATTGAAAGTGAATTATACGAATTTCATAGCAACATAATATTATAAAATTATCAAGCAATATTTAACTTTATTGTTCTATATTTGTCGTATTCCATGTAATTATCGTCACAATCAGCTTTTAACCTTAAAAAAACATCTTTATATTTATCCTTTTCCAGGATAATTTTATCTCTTTCATTGTAAGCCACATCCCTCTTCCTTCTAGCGATATCTGCATCCCTACGAGTTTCTATTTTATTTTATCATTCAAGTGTTAAATAATGGTATTAATTAGTTTTAAATCATTTTGAACGTAAATGGAAATAAAATACTTTAAAAATAATAAATACATTTTTCCGTTCAATACTATACTAAAATTTTGAAGTTACATCCATATGTCCATTCAAATTAAAACACATCTTTTAATCTTCAAAAACTATTCGAATTTTATAGTGACCAGCTCATGTAAAGAGATTTTTTTTGCAATATAGAGTTAACTATATTAAAAAGGTTACTTTTTTTAAAAGAATTATAATTTAGTTTTGGATAGGTAGGCAAACTTATACATCTTTAAAAAATCATTATAAATATATATATAATTTTCGAAATCCACCAGTACCAACCTATTAATTGAGACTGCAATAGTCTTAATCTGTCATATAAGACTTCTTTATCAGAGTCTCCTATCCTGTCCTTTTGGTACAAATCTCTTAAAATAATATCCCTATCTTCCAAAGCTCGCATTTTATCCTTTTTTAGGGAATCCTTTTCATCGAATAAGTTTTTACATCGAATTAAAATTTCTTCTTTCTCTTTTTCCAGTTTAATATTTTCATTTTTTGCCTAATTATTAAAAATATAATATATCAACTTGATTATATAAAAAAATTCATTCTATTTTAATCATACTCTCTCCCCTTCTTTCATTTCTTTATTCCTCCCTTCCGTCCTTTTTTCCTTCCTTCCTTAATTCAAATTTACTAAAATATATTAATTAATTAATTAGTAAATCTTTATTTTTTAACCTCTTGAAATTTATTTTTTATAATTTCATAATCCTTAATCAACAAATTTTGCTCTTTCGAAGACATATCCAATTCCTTTTTATACGCTTCTTTTTCTTCAGCGTTTTCTTGAGTTTCTTTTTCAAGTCGCTTTTTTTAGATATTTAAATATATATTTAACTTTTAAAATAATTAAATTATTTTTTAATTTATTGTTTGAAACAGTGACGTCACTAAGGAGGGGCTTTATTTGAGCATGCCTAAAATATACTTTATCTTTGAGAAAAAGAATTTTTTTTTTTTGGGGGTGAGGGGGTCATAAATTTTTAAAAAAAATAGCAGAACTAAATAATAACTATATTGCTACAGATTTCGACATAAAAGAACAATTTATCTATTTTTAAAAAAATATCCAATGATATATAGCTTTTTTAGTCACATAGTGTTCTTCTTCAAGTACAGAGTAATCAAAAACAAGTGACCTCTTAACGAGTCTAACTAGTTTGATGTGACTAAAAAAATCTATATTTATAATTAATAGTCAAAAAAGATAGTTCATTCAATTTAATAATATAACATTTATTTTTATTTTATTGTCATTAATTTCTTCCTGTAGTTTGTCGATTTCTTGGTGCACGGTATCCCTTTCTGCCATAACCAAACTGTATTCTTGTACAACGGCATTTCTTTCCATTAATCGTTTTTCTAAATCTTTGGAGGAACGAATTTGCAAAGCCAATGCATGATTCATCTCTTTTATAGCCTCATCTCTTTGCTGTGACACCTTAAATTCGTCAATGAGACATTTAATCGTGTATTCCTATTATTTAGATTTTCATAATAATACATTCTTTTCTTATACTATTGCCCTCTCCCGTTAATCTCAATTTCTTTCTAATTTAAACCCAACCCTATAATTTATTAAAAATTAATCACTTATAAAATAACATATTAACAAATATAGAACTGGACAGATAAGAAAAATGAACACATTAAGCCCAGAAGAGATAAAGCACTTAATACGAAAAATTAGGATCAAAATATATTACTATTTTGATGGGTTTATAAAAAGTAAGTTGTTTTATATAAAATTAACACGCTTTATATTTTCGGTCTTCCCACTAGATCATCAGAAAAAAGTTAATAAAATAAATCGTAAATATATAAGAATATATAATATATCCCATTCCTTTTAAATATATATTATTCAAATGTAACGGTATGATTGGTTTAAATTTTCGAAAATTTATCAGAACTAAAGATAATTACGATATTAGATAAGTGGAACAAGTGATAATAACGAAATCAATTAAGTTAACGGATTAATGGATGAAAATATAAGATGTGAAAAGTACAATATCCTTTAAAAATATGGATTTATAATTATAACCAGTAAAAAAAATGTGAATTAAAATATCGAAATATCTGAATCAAAATTTTTAGCCAAATTATCCCACATGTAGATCATAAAGCAAAAATCCTATTTAAACAAAAATAAATGTTTGTTGCGATCAAATCAACACATTATAAAAGAATTTGAGTCAGCATCACTGTTATTATTAATAGGTACTGAAATCCGAAAGGTATGGAAGAGGAATAAACATATCAGAATATAAAATAAAAAATGACAGAAGGAAATCAACAATGCCGACAAATGAATAAAGCATTTTTTATAAGGAGCATATTAACTATTTCAATCAAAAGGAAGGTGATATGATAAGGTATGGCGAGACATAAATATTAATGTAAAATAAGATATTTTCAATTGCCCTTCCCCCTCAATTACATAAAATAAGAAATATTAGGGTAGAAAAGTTTGGACATCTATTTGCCAAATCTCGAGGCTTACATAACATTATTTTGGATAAAATCTTAATCTGGCAGTTTTTAAAAATCAACCCAAATCGGGCTTTTTATCAACACTACTTAAACCGTTTTGAGTTGGTAAGTAGCTTGTTTGGTCTCGAGGAGAGTGATTTCGAGCTTCCGACTCAGGCCCGTGAGATGTTGTTTAAGGGATAAGTTTTGTTTGAGCAATTGAGTTCTGTCCTGGAGCGCGGCCTCAAGCTTGCTTCTGATGCGTGAAGCTTCCCTTTCGACACGAGCAAGTGTGGTGTCATAAGAGGCCTGAAGTTGGGCATGTTTGAGTCTCAAGGCTTCGTGGTCTCGCTGCACGCGTTCGTACTTTTCCAAAGCCGTATCGTACATTTTACTCAACAACTCACTTGAGCCACTACTCAAGCTGCAATACCTACCGGAACAGCCAACGGCAGCGGGTATCGTTTTCATTGTGTTCTCATCTGAACACCGCCAAGTATCTATATTACTAACTTCTATATCGTTAGACGATGACGACAATGAACACCATGGACTCAAGTTGTAATACTTGAGGTCTATGCCACTTTCATTTTCTTTCGATATAATGTCCGTCGATGAATTGTAACTCAGGGATGTTAAAACGGCTGGATTTAGCATGTTTTTGTGTTTTACAATTATGTGGTCGGAAAATTGAGAACTAGAATGGTAACCAACGGAATATTCAGATTTATTATCGATATTCAAATAGTTTTGAAATTTATTACTCGCGCGGGAAATGGTTAGAGAATAATCATCACTAAAATTGTTTTCATTTTCCTTATTGATAAGTTCTGTATGTTCGAAAGAACTATCATTAAAAGAAGTATCGTGAATAAATGATTTACACTGTGCCTGATTGGAACTTAAATAGGTCGGGTCAAGGTGCGAGAAGGTGAGCGATGTGATCAAGGTACAATTTGTGCAAGAGGAAATGGTCATGGGAATTAAATCTTTCGAGGGTGTTTCATACATTTTATCACCCAAAAATAATTCGCGGGAAATTGAAAAACAATTCGGATCCAGGGTGTTGTTAATCAATGACAAATAATGTGGTTGTGATGGATTGTAGCAAGCATCAACGTCAGAAGTTAATCCTGATATTTGAGAATCATTATATTTTTTGTGATTAAAATAATGCAATTCGTTATCAAATAAATTCTCATTTAAATTTATGTCGTCGTCGTTTGATTTGTCCTTATAAGAGAATATACTTTGAATGTCATATGGGTCTCCTTTATTTTCATCTACGATTGAATATGGAATGGTTTTATCGAAATTTGTGAAATCAAAGGTAGTAGGATTACCATAAATGGAGGTTTTACATAGTCGATTGTCATAATTATGAAAACAGAGTTGACTTAGGGGATGCGTAACAGATAATACGTTCTAAAGTTTTTTAACAAAATAGTATACTTCTAGCATTTAAATTATATTTTTTTTACTTTGACAGGAGAATTTACATATTGAGTAAGTGATTTGGGAGAATTGCTATAGTTATCTAATTTTGATTTTTTACAAAAATATAAAATAAAACATTAAGAGAAAAATTTTTAAGCTTATAAATTTTTTTGTATATTTATGTATATATATATAATAAATGTTGTTTTAAAAAAAATGAGATGATATAATTAAATAAGACGGTCAATGACATTATTGAGTCAATCAATCTTTTCTCGACTGTACATTGGTATATATAGTTAGCTATAATATCCGTTCTCGATTAATTATATTTGAATTAAACCAATCAAAACTATATATCAAGCATTTTCACTTACATCTATAATACAAATTAAATCATCAAAATTTTAGTTATTTATCATTTTTGTTATTTATATATAAATCAAAATAATTTCATAAATAAACCTCAAGATATAATATTTTATTTCATATCTAAAAAAAGGGGTGAAAGGGGTAATATTTTTTTTTCATTTCTTGGTGATAATGACAGGTATGTAATTATATATTTATATGCAGATTAAATAGTAATTGAACCCACCAATATCTTACTCAAAAATACTCAAATTAATGGTCACAGAAAGTGGCAATTATACTGATTGCTATTTCGTATACTATAATAATCTGTTTCAAAAAATTTAGCCAATTTTTTCTCGTTTTATTTGTATATTACAAAAAAACTAAAAATTGTATAATTATGTGTAACATAAAAAATTAATAATTTAATGGGCCCCTAGCCTTTTGAAATATATATCAAGTCTATCATTAATTATCTAAAAATGACAAATAAGTCATTATTATAATATAAAATTATATAATAATTTTGTAAAATCTAATGTATGGGCTGGTTTTTTTTATTTCTATTATGAGATCCCGGTGAGCTTAAATTATAATCAGATCTTTCTACCCATAAATAATTTATTTTCTATTTTATAAGCTAATTTTCCTCATTATTTTATATATATTTAATAAGAGTATTGTTGCAAAGAAAAATAAACATTAATAATTTCAATACTAAAACAGCCTTCCTATTAGCTGTCTTCCATGACTCTATTCTTCCATGACTCTATAGCCCTAAACTCAGACGAAACTCAATATTCATATAATATAATCAATGCAATATAATTTCCAATGAGATTCATACCCCGAAAGTTTATGGTCACCCACTAGACCTTTTAACAAATGATTCAACGCTTAGTCTTGATGTATCCTGAAGCAAAATATTCCCCTAAATTACACTTTTCTTACAAATATAAATACTCGGCATAAATATTTCAGAAAAACACTGGAGAGCTTCTATATTCAACAAAAAATCGGAATAAAAGTATGTTGATCTATTATTATACATATTGGTGCATACCCAACAAGTGTTTACATATATGTATAAATAATTATACTTTTTATTAAATCAATTAGATGGTATGTTTTTTTTCAAAATAGTAATTAAAATCTTAATTTACAAATTCAATATCAAAAACTACATTGATACTGAAAAATACAGATTATAAACCATATCTATAAAAATAACAATATGAAACCATTATAAAAAAAACAACTTAGAAAAAGTCGACGGGGCTTGACCCATGTATAGATAAGCAGTTGGATTGGCAAATTTCGATCGATATTATTTGTCCTAATAGAAACCCTCTTTTGGGTCACCTATGATTATGTTTTAAATAATTTTAGGATTTGAGCAAATGATCTATAGGTGGGGGTAGTCTAGTTTGATAGTCAGGGTTGAGGCGAGAGAGCTCCAGTGAAAGGAATATTTGTGGATCACAAAGTTCTATTGATGATCGAATTGACGGTATAGTGCCTAGTTAATCTGCCTTTTAAAAAGTGACTGGGAGCTGGCTTAGTCTATCAATATGAGTATCACAAAGAGCGCATGATGTTGTTGATACAATTTCGTAGCCTAATCGGGCACCGAAGGCCTATCTTCGTTTGTGATAGGAGACCTAAAGAATATTGTTTCCATTCATAACCTAGGTGGTATATGGCTGAGGCTGGAATTATTTGATCTGGCAAAAGAGTCATATTATTGCCATTCTGTTGACGCTGGGTTGGGTTAGTATTTACTTAACAGCTTTTGAGTGTAAGTGATAGGCAGAATGGGGTGGTAAATTCCTGTCTCTTAGACTTATAGAATTTGGATAAGAGTTGCTTGGAGCGTTTTTGCTACAAAGGTCTAAAGCTGTGGTATGATGTAGATCAATAGTATTCAAGTCCCCAAGTGTATGAGAAATTGCAACTGATGATAGAATAGCTGAAACGTTTAAGGATATGGGAGAATGTAGACCTATATCACCAAGCTTAGTGAAGGAGTAAAAGGAATGTTTGCATCCAAGAGAAAGATGAGAATTAGATATTATTAATATATTTGAGAGCATTTAATGAAGGTCGAAGGTCTAATAATATTTCAAGGACATAAAAATTGGTGATGACCGGAAGGCATGTAAAATTTTAGGAATTAATACAAAAAAATTTAAGTAAATAAGATGTCTGATAAGCGTGTATTATAAAATTTTTCATTTTATTGAATTTGACAGGTTAATCTCTAAAATCTAATATTGCACTATCACCTCCAATGAGTAAACCTCGGTTGATAAGGCTATACTAAAATTTTCAGGGGGATAGTCTGATTTTATAGATGAATAAAATTCTCATTAGTTAGGATTTAGTGACAGTCCCTTTATAAGGATTAAATTTATACTTGTGGGTATTTTTATGATTTCATTATAAGGACCCACTATTATGCCATAGTCGAGGTATAAAACATTTAATTTAAGGGCGCAATTTGATGAGATTTCTTTTATGATTAGTTGTATGCCCTGACATAATACAAAAACTAGAGAATCTCCAAAGTGGAGTGGTTATAAAATGCAGAAAAATATGTTGAATATTCTGGGAATGCTTCACATACAGAAGGTATAAGATGCTTTCTTCTAAATGGTATTTTGTAAATCTAATTGAGGAAGCATTATTCATATGTAATATGAAGAATGCCATGTGTGAAAAGGGATGCAGTCTCACATCCTCCAGGAATATTAAATTCAGCTGGTTAGGTTTTATTAGATCAGACAGGTATGATTTTATGCTAGAGCAAATTTTTTTTTCATCGGAATACTGACATTATTGCAATAGGTTCCCCATTTGTTTTGTTTAAAGTTATCAAGCGAGCTCCAAATATGATAGGCTGAATTGTGTGAGGAATATTATTATAAAATATATGATTAAGATTACAAATTGTGAAAGTATATTTTGCTATAGAGGTATGGATGGTTTAATTAAAATCTTGCAAATATATGGTTCAAAAACTATCAATGCAACCAGAATTGCTTCCAAAATTTACATCTCAGTTAAAGGATCAGGATAGGAAGGATAAATGATGTAAAATCTTGGGGGTTGTTAAGATAAAACCCATTGAAACAAGCGATGTAGATAGCAGAGCTTATATTGCATATGTTCATTTTATTTTTAATGAGTTTACCCCTTTTATCTGTTGAAGGTTTAATAAAAGTGCGTATAGTTTGACTGGTAATATCAAATTAGTTATTTTTTTAAAATACTTTGTGTTAAATAGTTTTGATGTAGGCAGGTTGTAGATTTAAATAAATAAATGATAAAAGATTTATTCAAATATCCAAACTTTAAATATTATTGAAAGAGATTAAAAAGCTAATAGCTTTTGTGAAAAAATACGACCACTCTTTGGGATGCGAGCTATTGTGGATGGGAGGCTTTCATAAATTTATTTATCCATTCATGTGATGGGAAATAAGGATCGAAATGATATTCTTTCGGCTTGAAAATGTAGACGGAGGGATTGGTTCCATATTGGACGTGATATAATTGGGATTAGAAATTGTAGATGTAGGGATTGATTCCATATTACTGCTATTAATAAAGGAAGGATTACAAGAAGGGGGCAAAGCACGCTCATCATTGTTAAAGAAAGTTCCTGATACAGGACATCAGTCTGCAGGTTTACAGTGACTAATAAGTTTATTCCCTTTTATTAGGGATACATTGTTGGAATGTGGGGCATATCACCAATAAATAATTAATTTATATTTTATATGATTATAACTTACTTTATATTAAAAAAATTTAAATATATATTTACTTTTTTGTTTTACCATATATATAATGCATATATTGTAAATGAGCATAATGTAATATAATATTTTAATAAAAGATTTATCAGATTTTTAAAAAAATTACGTTTCATTTATATTTATCTACATAATTATCAATACCTAATAAACAGTCTTAATTAATTATTGTTAATAATCATAATCAGATAGAGAAAATTAAGAAACTTAAAATTTGTAACAATGGATAATAATTTATATCATAAGGGATGTACCTATATTTTTTATCGGATCGGGCCGATGTTTCACCCATTTTAAAATATCGGTTATCGGCAATATTATAAAATTTCCCGATCCAATCCGATAAAAAATGGCGTTTATAACAAAAATAAAATGTTATAAAATAGTTATATCTAAAATCATTTATTTTTATAAATAAAATCGAAATCCATTTATTTTTTTCATCATAATAATTAATTAATAAACATTATGACATATTGTTATTTTTTTTTTGCGCATTCTGTTAAAGCGTGCGATAATCTCTTCAGAAT